CTTAGTTTTTGTGCTCTATTATTTAAACATTTCACCAATCCTATTTTCAATGACATGGGATGGGATGATCGGAAGTCCAAATATATGTTTGAATGTGTGGGTTTCCTGTAAACACTAGTGTTTATCTCCCCATCTTCTTTCCTTTTTACGCTACAATCTAACTGTGAAAGCTCCCCTTCCTGACTTTTCAATCCGTAAGTGAATTGAATCACCCCTACCTTAGAGTGTTCGAAAAATCTATTTATTTCCTAAGTTCTAAGTACGGTGAATGTGTCATCTACATACCTCCATCATACTTTTCGGGTGGGGGTGAACGTTTCAATCGCCATTTTTTCCTACCTGTCCATGAATATATCTGCCACTATCGGGGATATTGGTGACCCCATGACAACTTCCTCGAATTTAAATACTATGGAAGTCAGGCATAGCTGCACTCCCAGCATTATGTCCTCAAGTGGTACTTCGTTCTAAGTTGAAGTTCTTGGTCAGAAATGAGTTCGTTTCTAACTGCCTCTATAGTCATATTTATTGGTATACGTGTATACAGACTGCTAATGTGAAAACTAATCTCGAGAATAGTTCAGTTATATCACTCACTACATGCAATTACACACAACCATACAATAGGATGGATGGGATAAGATGACAGTTTTAAATCTAATGTAACAGAGTGGAGGGAGAGATTGATAACGGAAGCTGTATCTATGTAATCAACTGCAAACACATATCCAGCCGGATATCTGGAAAATTCTACTACCCTTACGACGACAAATAGGAAAGAATAAGGAAAACTGTAAAACTCAAGTTTCGAAGTCTTGTGATGATGATAATTGATATGATTATGAAGAGTAATAAATTGTGTTGGAAACCTCGTCATCCAGTAAATAATAATACTGTTTCACTGTGTGATATATCTAATAAATAAACTAATATGGAATTAAATACTACCACAGTGTCCAAGTTTTACACATATATATTAACATACTCTCTTTGGCATATGTGCTTGAATTATAAAAACGTCACACAAGAGCTGCGTTCCTCATAGCTGATTAGCCTAGTGTATAACGCTTTGACGAGTTAAAAAAATAATGGTAGGCTAGAGATTTGTGAACCCCCAATCACTCCCTACGAAGTTGACGACTACTATAGATTAGAAAGAAACGCGTATCCTAGCTTCTATGACCACACTCACATATAACCAAAGGAAATGAACACCTAATCTTCGGAAAAAAAGAATTCAATTCCGAGTTTTATTTTTTTTTTTTGTTTTAGTTTCAATGTTTCTTAGTGTACCAGGGACTAGGGACCGATTACAAGAGGCATCCACATTTAGTAGTATGATTAAACTGATCAGAAACAAGTGTGTTTTTTTTTACTGTACAAGATAAGCATTCTTCTTGAGGAATTACTTTTTCTATTTGATGAAAATGGACCCAGAGACAACAGCGGTCTTGATGACGCCATCACTGGAGAAGGTGTGGAAAGAAGGCAAGGTACCCGAGGATTGGAAGAAAGGATACTTATTCAAACTACCAAAGAAAGGAGACTTAAGTCAATGCAAGAATTGGCGCGGAATTATGCTCCTATCCATCCCAAGCAAAATACTAAGCCGCATCATCCTGGAGAGAATCAAACACGCCAACCTGGATGAAAAACTTCGACCGGAACAAGCTGGATTCAGGAGAAACAAGTCATGCATTGATCAGATCGCCACACTACGGATCATCATTGAACAAAGCTTGGAATGGCAGTCATCGACTTTGAAAAGGCCTTTGACAGCGTTGATTGAAAGGTGCTTTGCCAACTACTTCGCTAGTAAGGTGTGCCACCGACAATTATACATCTCATCCAACAGCTGTACGACAATGCTGCATGCCAAGTAATCCACAACGGGAAACTTATGGAATCCTTCGAAGTGAGGACAGGAGTAAGACAAGCTGGTTACCTACTATCGCCAATGATTTTCCTGATTGCAGTAGACTGGATAATGCGACAGACAGTGGGCAATGAGGAAACAGGCATAAAATGGACCCACACAAAAAACTTGGAGGATCTGGACTTCGCCGATGATATATGTCTGATTTCCCACAAACTGGAAGATATGCAAGCGAAAAGCAACAAGTTGGCACAAGAAGCATCAAAGATAGGAGGGACTTCAGGTGAACATAGAGAAAACAGAGGTGATGAAGATTCCTGGGCAACACCACCAACAGCAACAACAACAACAGACAACAATCAGTATAAATGGGAGGAACCTGAAAGAAACAACCTCTTTTACCTACCTGGGAAGCATCGTTTCAACTTCGGGCGGAACTGACGAGGATATCAAAGCAAGAATCGGAAAACCACGACAAGCTCTCACTACTCTCAAGTCTGTGTGTAGGTCAACAGCACTCACCATCAAAAATAAGACTCGAATTTTCAACTCCAATGTGAAGTCAGTCAGTGCTACTATACGGATGGATCAGAGACTTGCACTGCGCGTCATAAAGAGCACCTCAAACAAACTACAGATGTTATCATTGACTAGTGTCCAATCAAAGTATCCTTCAGTAGGTCAATCGCGAGCCCAAATAGCTCAGTGGTGATACATCTGACTACAGAACTGGGTGACACGGGTTCGAATCTCAGAAGGGACATGAGCTCCATCAACGTTGCAGATAAACCTTGCTGATGAGTGACAACTAGCACGAAACCTAGGTGAAGCAAGGCTTCCTGCCGATTGTCTCCAACCATCTAATATCAACAATTCAAATCGGACCGTGATGGCGAGCCATCTAGAATAGTGGCCACATTGCAAATTTGACTGACTGGTAGAATTCAGTCTGCACCAAAGATAGGACCAGACACATTACGCTAGCTACTGACTAGTGTCTAATCAAAATATTGTCCACTAGGCTAAATCACTTGCGTAAACATGTGACCCATTATACATTTCTAAAACCGAGGCAAAAAAATTTCAAAAACAAAAAGGCTTAAACTCTCCCTATCCTGTCGCCCTCTTTCTCTCTATTTTATTCACTCAATGACTCATCGGCAGACATGCATGATAGGTCACAAAGACAGTATATACACATAGACAAAATTCGATAATAAATCATACAAACATATGGAAAATGTGTGTATAATTCCGCTTATCACACTTGCATGACATGTAACTAAATAAAAACGCCTACGCTTTCTCAGTGAATAGGAAATCGGTTTGTAGTTTTCAATGACACATACTGACTAACACAAAATTACACTAAGATCATTGAAGACTGCATAAAAAAATAAAGGCTTACAGAATCTTAACACCAATGTTACACTGACAATTCAAAAATCAATATGAACATGTAATAAATAAAAAAAGTAATGAGATGCTAACCCCAAAACTATTATGTGAATACACAGTAATATACAATGCATACACACAGAAGGATGACGTTAGGAGGTATAATGGAGAAGATTTGTAGCTCAAATGGATGATTTTTATTTAATTGTGTTCTCTGAGCAGGATGGTTTACTTACGAAGCGCATACTTCAATCTGAAGATGTTGCTTAGTAGAGCAATGAAAGCTTCGCAAGTAAAACATCCAGTTCAGAGAACACAAGTACATCAAAATGTTAGGTGTTCTGAAGCAACCAGGCTTTTTACTTCAAGTGTTGGTTTGCAGGCATTTGATTGATTTCCGATTGGATCATGAATTGAATTCAGTTAGGGAACCAATGAAAACCACCAAGGAGTACTGGTCAGCTGTTTCCTCCTAGCTTGGGACTCTTGAGCAGTACACATACATGACACCCCACAAGGGATTGGACCCAGAACTTTCAGGTTACAAGTCAAGCTCATTGACCATTTAGCCTCTGGGACGGAATCAGAAAGGCAAGCGAATTCTAACTTCTGCCAATTCACGACGTATAGCGCAACTGATGTCAGTTCGTGATCAAACAAATTCCTGCAAACCAGTACTTGAAAATTAATCTGATAACCGCTAGTGACCGACTAAAGGACGAAGTTGACTGAAGTTCTAGAGGGCAGGTGTAGATTTTAACTCCTGTGAGTTCATGATATACTGCCACCGCTAGCCAATCCTAACGACGAATATATGTCCACATACCCAGGCGGCTTAGTGGACCCTACCAGTCACGACTTCTCATTACACCTCCATGAAATCCATCCTTTATTCAGTCACTTCCAAGTAGTGGATTAAGTTTCAAGTAGAATTATAGAAATATGATAGATTTCAAGGTCCGATGAATAGCTGCCACCTTGGCGTGGTGATCAGGCTTGTATAACATAATGACTCAGTGACCTACATTGGCTGGAAAGAATGTTCTTACAGGTCCTATCCATGCCAAAAAGATTAGTTGGATAGCGGTTAAACTGGAAGCAATTACCAAAAGAGTGTAAGTCATTTAAAGTATATTAGAAGTCTATGAGCGATATCGTACGGTTGGCGAATGGGGATGTTTCCCTCAGATGACTAACATTTCGACTATGCTGCCTCTCCCCTGTTGAGAGCGGGGATTAGAAAAGGTCGACCCTGAAAATTATACATCTCAACTTACCTTTCCCAAGGTCCATAGATGGCGATAAGATCTTAATATGAACACAACTCCAAAATCCAATCTCGATCTAAAAACTTTCTGTAGACTGAATAAATTATGTTGCCTTTCATTTCATTAAGCTTAATTACTGACTTTTCACATGTTATCGAGAGAGGTTCCAATCAATAACAATTAAGACTAGACAGTTATTTGTTATACTGGTTACCATCTGGCGACTGACTAACCCGTATGCAAAACACACACACGCAAACATAAGAACATGAAGTTTCCACCATTACAATAATTAAATAATCTGATTTAGATTCATGCATTAGCCAGTATAAGCCAGAATCTATTTTGTCTGAAATAATAACAACACTGAGAAACAGGATAAAAAAGAAACACGAATACGCGTTAATCGAAAGTAATTACCTCTAGACAGAGAGCAGAAATAATTAAATAGAACTTACCAGCTATAAGACTACTTGTTGATTTATTAATACGAAATTCCATTTCTAAATATTTCGGTAGAAATGATGCAAATCCGATAACAATAAACATCTCTGAACTAATGCATAGACAGACCATAATGTAAATTCGATTTCGAAGAAGTGAACCAAGTACACCAGTGAAATCTAGAAAATGAGAAATAGACCAGGGAGGAGAGTAAATAAAATAAATCAATAAATTATAAACGGTCTATTAAAGTAGACTATCGATAATTTTCAACTGTATTGGAGGGTAGAGGTAGACGACATTTTTATCATTTGTGACAATAATTATAACCTTAATCAATCGTTACAGGGATTTAACAACTATCATCCAGCAATAAAATTCACATCACTTGAAATGTAGAACGATGCTGATGTTGAACTGACAAGGAAAGCCGATGAAACCTTAAGAACATCTATTCATATGAAATCTTACACAGAACGGTCATCTGACAAGTTTCCATTGATAGGCGCCTGTTAAACAAAAACGAAATTTAATTAAATCCCTTGCCACTTGCATGTAACGCACCTGTAGCGCTGACGCTCTAGAATCCTGAATAGATACCCACCGCGAGATGCATTGACAAGAACATCAAACCAAAAGATCAGAGAAACAAAACGCTAATCTTCAGAAGCCTGAAAGACAAGATCTCGCATCTGAATACTTTTATGTGCATATATCAGTTCGCCTGTTTCTGTAGAACCAGATATATTGGTCGTTCGACGCGTATGCTGTCAAAGAACACTGCCCAGCATGGTTGTAGAGACCTGGCAGTAGCTCTATAAGGAGCGAGATAATTAAACACCTCAGTGACACTAATCATTCTCTCTCAACAACCTTCCCCTTTAAAGTAATCTACAGAGTGAAGTACAACCTACTAAAAACAATACGCTTTCATCTTCTCTGAATTGCTGTAGCTGTAATTATTCAGGTAGAGAAGAAAATTACTCAACTACTTCTACTATCACGGTAACAACACCTTGTTGTCTTTCTACTAACTTGATTTTTATTTGTTTGTTTTTAACTTTTTATGACGCTTGTATTTCTTTGGAACTGTTACGTAATATCACATTTTCCTTTGTTTCGGTGTACACATCCTGATTACAACTCACTCATTAAATTACTCATCCTATTTTTTATTCCTTTACGTTCCTAGTGGAACATAGGGCTTCAAGCTACAGGCTTGAAGCTTCGTAGCATAGTGTTTATTTTTATGGGATAAGGTTGCTAGCCTCATGCCCAACCTTCCCTCTTCACCACTCTTATTACTCGCTAAACAAGGTAAAGGAGTGCATCAGCCGGGGATCGAACCCCGGACCCCATGCGAGGTTGGCGAGCATTCTACCGCTGTGCCACTGATGCACACTCATCCTATTACGTAACTCTAATTCTTTTATTCAACTCATCCTGTTTATTGACTAATATAAGCAACTAGGATCATGACAACTTATCACTTCTGTTACTATCCGCCTTTGTGATTGTACAGCTAAAGACAGTGAGTTCGCCGAAAAGAGACTCTACACTGAGCTATGTGTTTTGTTCTTTTCAATAATAATTTATGATATTACTGTTTTTTTTTAGAGAAAAGAACATTATAATGAATTAAAATCGATACCTATATGACACATTTATTTATTTATTTAACTATTGATCGAGACTCAATTATGCCACATAGATATTTTCCACAAGAAGAGAATTTGGAACTCATGATCCATTGACTAGAAGTCAAATACTTCAACCATTAATAAGCCAATTAAAATAAATCACAATACACGAAAGTCGTAATGTCACATAAAAATTCTACTGTCCAAGCGAAAAACAGAACAAAACACATTTATGCATATGTACATGGGTGATGCATCGAAACGACCGATTAAAGATAAACATAACACACGTGTAACATGGTAACGACCTTCAAAAAACAGAAAGTGGAAACAACACTCAGATCACACACAGTTGGTCACTGATTAATAATAACTTGTAGATTATCGTCCGCAAATAAGATAACCATCAGTTACATATAATATGACTCATCCGATGTTATTTTTACATTTTACATGTCATCTCCATTCCATTTTTTGTTTCTATACTCATTTGGATAACATTTCGTTTTATTACGAAACAGACAATGTGCGTCGGTGGCACAGCGGTTGTCCTAACCGCTCGCCGACCATGCACATGGTCCGGGGTTCGATCCCCGGCCACAGACGCACTCCTTTACCTCGCTAAGCCAGTAGTGAGACTGGTAAAGCGGAAAGGTTGGGCATGAGGCTAGCAACCCCATCCTGTAAAAATTAACCCTGCTACAGAAACTCCAAGCCTCTAGCTTGAAGCCCTATGTTCCACTGGGAACGTGAAGGAATAAAAAATGAAACAAACAATAACCTTAGCAACTCTGCTTGTTGTTAAGTTAGTGTGAAATTATTGGACACATTCATGAAATAAATTATATTATATAATTATGATTGCACGGTTGTACCACAAATGAAATCAATCACAGAATAGAGCCCAGTCTAGATCACGTGTCTGGATTTTCCTTCATAGTGTTTTAGGTTTCACAAGAAAAACACTATTGGTTAAATCTAATTGAATATAGTGTAATTCACAAAACACTAAAAAAAGAGGACAGTGTTTTGAATGACTAGTCTACGAAGCTATATATCTGTCTGTCAAGACTTCGAAACTGGTTTACACACTATAGACACTAGATTAGGCCCAAAGAGGAAATAATGTTAAACCTTGCTTTGGAGGACTTCATCATGAGCTGATATCAGTTAGAGAACCATTGGAAAACCTGGGAGTACTGGACAGCTGTTTCGTCCCAGTTTTGGACTCTCCACCACGGGGGGTTCGAACCCAGGACCTTCTGGTTACAAGGCGAGCTCGTACACCACTGAGCCACTGAGACCCGATCCAATGGTCCTTGAATTCTAACTTCTGCCAATTCACGACATAGCGCGACCATTTCGCAATGTCTTCTTCGATGAGTTACTGCCTCATCTTCAACCTGCTGTACCCTACTGCTCACGGCTTCCCACTAGAACCCCAGGTTACCTGCCTGAATAGGGCCAGTCGCTAGTGAGCATCAGATTAATTTCCAGTTGTTCAATACTCCCAGGTTTTCCAGTGGTTCTCTGACTGATGTCAGCTCATGATGAAATCCTCCAACCAATCAAACAAAATCCCTACAAAACCAATACTTGAAAACCTTGCTTCCTTATTCCACGATTTTAACATAATTACTCTGTTATAAATAACAGTATTCTGATCCCCTCAAAAAATATAACGAACGAAATGAAAATGGATCGGACACAGACACTGATGAGATCTTCGAGTGGTGACATCACTTATCTGGTACCAGAGTGGAACCCGAATGGGAAACGACAAGTTGAAAGTGGTTACAGGGTTGACAGAGAGGCTATCGTAAAATGAGGAAATGAAAACTCATGGGTAATAGTGGAGTCAGATAAAAAAAGACTGTAGAGAACACAGTGAAATGAAGATTTGCTTCTGGAGGTCTATATTCCTCCCGGAACCCAAAGGAATAATCATTAAAATGATAGTAATAAAGACTGTCGACTGATAAAACTGGTGAAAATCATGCCTATTAAGTAAAATGCTGAGACAGTTACTAATGTAGGTGTAGAACTTGGACACTGTGGTAGAATGTAATTCCATATTAGAGAAGTTTGTTTCAAATATCACACAGTGACGCAGTATTAATAACTGGATGACATTTCCAGCAGAATTTATTGCTCATAATCATTTCAAATTAGTCACATGGCTTCATCATTTGCTTTATATAGTACTACCGTATAAAGAAGGAACTTCACAAGCCTTACATAGGATTCTCAATGAAGCTGGAATTACGGTGACATTCAAAACAACCAACCAACCAACTAACTCTCTCAGAGATAAACTCTTTCGGCTTAAGGACCCAACACATCCAATTAAGAAAAATAATATGGTTTACCAAATACCATGTAGTCACTGTGACGTCAATTACATAGGTCAGTCAAACTAACTGATCACGGTCATCTAGATTATCGCGACACAAAAGCCTACCTCGGTCTAGAATGATTGACCCCATCTAAGTTAAATAACCTAGACAATAGAGCTCAGTCATTGCACTGCATTCACTTGCATGTAATCACAAAATAGGGTGAGTGGGACAGGGTGAGAGTATTGAGAAGCAACAGAGTTAGGTGGAGAGACAAAGAGGCCAATCACTGAAGCCTTGTTTATCTATTCAACATGTGCACATGTGCAATCGGAATGACGTAACACGTACACTGGAGGTATGGAGGGTGGAAATAAACAACAAATGGAAGTTAGAGAGAGACGATATATATAATCAAATGTGAAAACGCGTGACTAAATTGATATGAATATGATTGGCAATAATGTATGGTAGAGGCGTCATCCAGTTGTTAATACTGCATCACTGTGTGATAATTAAAATAAGCTTATGTAATATGGAATGAGATTTGTTACATCCACATAAATAGGTCTTATATCGACAAAACTGTAATCCTGTATCAAGTGAGGGAGACAGCAATAATTATACCTTTGGAGAACATATAATTAAAAGAGAAACCAACCAATATTACATGCATGTTTTTATACATTTCACTTATAGACTTCCCTTCTCATCTTAGTCTCTTATTTACTTTTTTTTAAACTTTTTCGTCATTTAACGATCCATTCATTTAATTTTAGTCGTAGACACGCTTACACGTGGTCTATAGGAAGGTTTGAAATGTATCCTACTTAAAATTACCAGCAATTACTTGAATAATTCAAATAAATAAATAAATAAGCCGTTATTCAACAAACGATTCCATCTATGTAAACTTGTTGATCACTTAGTTACTTTGTGGGAGGTGAGTAAAATAAGTTATCGCCAAAACAAATTTACCCCCCATCCCTTCATGTCTACTGTAAATAGATAGAATGGAGGCGGTCAATTACGACTTGAATTCCTTCAGTTATTTGGTCTTGTTTGACTTTGTATTACGTGCTTAGAGGAATGTTGTAATCCCTTAAGATACCACAAAGGGTGTTTTTAATCAATCTTTATAGACAGCTGAAATAACTTATTTATTTTTTAAAATCCAATCTTGATTTTCCCGTTGATTGATAGGACTAACATATTCGGTCTCTGTCACCCAAGTGGTCTGGTGGATAACGCTTTGGTGTTTGAAACTATGAGTACTGGATTCAAGCCTCTGTGGGAGCACCATTACTCATTGGAGAATGCAGGCACATCCGGCTGATAAGTTATGAATAGGACGAAATGTGCATCCTGGATTCCACTGCTAGTTATAATCCATCAAGTTACTTCAAGCTGGAGTATCTGTTGTGGAGTTTGCTATAATATGTGCGAAAACACCTTGCGATTAGGTTTGTACTCAACCATTTTGTGGAGGTGTGTGTGTGTGTGACAACACCATCTGGGTGCCAGGATTATGTATATCCAAACCAAGTTCAATTTTAACAGTTTGATAAAATTTGGGCATTGGTATGATATTCATTATTATAAAAGCTTTTGTATTTCCCAATCAATGGAAAAAAAACGATATTGGTTTTACTGACGTTTCGCTATTTAATGCTAATAGTCTTATCAAAATATTATTAAGAGTTGAGTGGTGAGAAAATAGACTTAGGTCAAGCTAAAAGAACATACTGAAGGTCAAAATAACAATGAAGATTACTAAACCAGACAAGAAAGGTAATAGTACATCTACTCTGTTATCAAAACAATGTCTACAAAGCCGGGTGTTGATTGTTGAATTTTCTATAGTTGGTTTGTAAGGATTAGATTTGTTTTTTTCGAGTTGATCACGGATCGATATCAGTTAGAGAACTATTGAAAACCAGTACGGAGTACTGGACAACTGTTTCATCCTAGTTTGTGTCGGTGGCACAGTGGTTAGGACTCTCGGGGGGGGGGGCAAATCATATGTCAAATATCCTCAAAACTTGATCACTATGTTTACAGAATACTGCATTTTGTCAGTGACTTCACATCCGAATGGAATACATCGTCTGTATATATATTAATTATATCAATGAGACATTTCCTCTTCAGCAAATCAATTCCTGAAGAAGACGAAATCGAATTCAGTGGTTTCTTAGCTCTTTATTCACTTGACAGTAAGAATGCCGATGAAATATTCTAGACTTGAAAAGAAAAATTCATACTTATGGAAATTCAAGCTGATCAAATAAAAGAACTGAATGATGAAACATTCACAAATCAAATGACAAAGCTCAGAAGATGCAAAATAACTTCCAATTCACATGATAACTAATAAGTGGCAAATCGATGTAAACCACTGCATAGATGATAATCACTTCAATCTTCAACATTTCAAAAAACGCATATGTGCTTTCCTTTCCTTCACGTTCCTTTGAAATTTCAGTAGAGGTGGTACTTTTCGCAGGGTGATGATACGAACCTCACGCTCAACTTTCTCACCTTATCGGTCTTACTACAGTCTAAGTGAGCTTTGGGAATGCACCGGTCAGGAATCGAAGCCCGGAACACGTGCGTGGTTAGCAAGCATTCCACTAATGGATCACCTACACTTAAAAAATGCACAAATTTAGGTAACAGGAATGTAATCCTACTAAAGAAATAGACAAATACATGTGGGTGAAGAGCAGTGGAAATCTTCCAAATTCTGCAGGTTATTGAAGCTGTATTAGTGAAAGTCTCAAACTACTGGATCATTACGCCCCAAAGACTCTAACTACACAAAGTACACTACGCCACGAATTAATAATATGTTTTCGGTTGACCATCTCTAACCCTCTCACTTGTTCCACTGAGGAGTTCAACACCACAGCATGGCTAACACATTTCAGACATCAGAATAGAAATGAGGAATCACTATCTCATCGGTTGAATTACCTTCCTTACGTAACACTTTACGTTTAGTCAATCTAAGTCTAGTCGTTTGTAAGACATAAGGCTTTCCCTTACTAATTTAAACTTCATTTAACTTAATACGACTTAAATATGCCAGAATATTGATCTTCAACAGAATTTGTGTCGCATGTAGACTAAAGTGACTGAATATACACATATGTAGTAGTAATATTTATTGCTGTTTAGACAGTTAATACAGAAAACAATATTTTGAAAGAAACCTTTTAGAAAAAAATAAAACAGCAATAAAGACTAAATAATCTTTACTTACCAATCCAAGAACGATTTGAATTGAAAGCTCTACATCGAAAATGAGGATTACAATTATGACTTTTACGTTGACTTCGCCGGGAAGAAGAAAAATCAGACCAAGGACTCTGAAAAATACAGAATAAATGAAGGAAAACAAATTTAACAACCAATTAATTATCAATTTCCGAAGATAATATAAAGACACTGGTTATCTTTTTAGTGATACTTATTGTAAATACAAGTTATTATTTATCTGGAGAAAGTGTAAGCTTTTAGAGTGGTTGGATTTGGTCCTGTAAATAACTCTGAAGGATAAATCACATGACTTCGTCGTTCTATGCTCACCTTTCATTAAACAAACCGGGTAGTGTTCAGCTATGCGCTTACGGAGAACAACGTCCAATGAAATCAGCTCCACACGAGTATATGAACGAGTATAAGCGCATAGAGGTGGGCATAAGTGGTAGTTTATCCTTAACGCATTGTCGAATCATATTTCGGCTGGTGAATACTAAATGTAAGTCAGCTGCATAAAAACAGCGTTTAACACATTTAGATAAACGACTTTTAATGACTTCAGCAACAGTGTCACCTTTGAACGCCAAACTCATAAACAGTGTCTTCTTTGGCACTATGATTTGGCTGGGGACGGTTTCTTTCTTGGTGTTTCTGTCAATAAACTTTTTAGGGTATCCATTATTTAAGAGAGTTGTGCGAAGGTGTTCTAGTTCAATGTCGACAATATGTATAGAGAAGATTTTCCGAATTCTGGAGCATAGAGAACGGATTCGACAATGCGTTAAGGATAAACTACCGCTTATGTCCACCTCTATGCACTTATACTCATTCATATACTCGTGCGGAGCTGATTTCACTAGACGTTGTAAATGTGTTCTCCGTAAACGCATAGCTGAACACTACCCGGTTTGTTTAATGAAAGGTGAGCATAGAACGACGAAGTCTTCGACTTGCGTACACATTATGGAGTCAGGTCATTCAGCCCCAAATGATTTATTATTTATTTATTTAAAACTAAACCCCAGTACTACAAGGAAACCGATGTGTATGCCGCACAAAGTTGAGTAAGACCTCTAGGTATGTTGGGGGTTCAGTGGCAGAATGCTCGCCAACCACCTAAGTGGTCCGGGGTTCGATTCTCGACCAACACACTCCTAGATCTTATCTAGCCAGTAGTAAGCTCGGTAAAGAAAGAAGGTTGGGTGTGAAGTTAGTAATCTCACCCTGTAAAATAATACCACCGCTATTGAAATTCCAAAGCTCAAGATTGAAGCCCTATATTCCACTACGAAAGTAAAGAAATGAAAATAATAACTATGTGAATAAAGAAAGGTGTGAGGGTACAACGAAAACAAACTAACAATCCGATATTTTCATTAAATACAATTTCAAAATGTTCACTACTATTTTCGCATTACTTTTGATAAGGGAAATTATAAGAAAATTGTAAGATCACCACTGTTTGATTAGTATTTCCCTTATATATGAAAACACCTACACATTTGAATTGAACGATGATTTTGGACACTAATCTGGAGATGGTGATGTATAAGTGGATCAGGAGGTGTGACTCATTGGCTTGAACACTCAGTTTTCATCCGATGGGCCACGGGTCCAAATCCCACTCCACCTACTCCAGCCTGGTCAACTGGGTAGTAAGCATCACCCTCAGATGATGTGTGTGTCTGTTGACCTAATACATGAAAAATCTGCTCCAGGTAATCGAGACTCATAACGAGATCTTAAGATATTACACCATGAGACGGCAACTGCTCCACTTTCCACCCATCAACCCCCACAAACTAGGTACGGCAATTACATAGAAGTTATAAATTAGCCCTCATCATAATAGTTATAAGACACAGAGGTATGATTGAACGATGCATTATGCATCCCAAAACCAAGTCACTGGTAAGAATAGGAATTGGATGACTAAATATGATCTATAATCTGGATTATTCACGAGACTATAGGTTTCGATGAAAGCGGTTCTAATTGGCATAACAGACAAACAGATAGGAATACATTTAAGCGATAAAGAGGCAACTTATTGTCTATCTTAATCTTACAAAGTTACTTCTTTCAACACCTTCACTGTTAAACTTAACCATACAACATGAATAAGTGAGTCGGTGGTCCAACAACAGAATGCTCGCCGACCACGCAAGTGGTCCATGGTTCGATTCCCAGCCGACACACTTCTAACACCTTGCTCAATGGACTAGCCGATAGTTAGTCTGGGAAAGAGGGGAGTTCGGATGTGAGGGTAGCAACCCCACTCCACCAAAAAACAACGCCACGGCTGCCGAAACTTCAAAGCTCCAAGCCTAGCGCCCTATATTCCACAAAAAACTTAAAAAATGCGGAAAAAATACAACGTGAATAGATATCAAGTGACCTCATACTTTTGCTAGCCTGTTTTTCTTAGACAATGAGTAACTTATACAATTATACGAATGGCTAGACACACAAATGATGCATATTAATTAACCAAGTTAAAGTAAAAGTATGTAGAAATTGAAATTTACAAATACAAAAAAAAACAACTTTGTGAATGGTTCATCAGATAAAATAATACTGAATATACACTACTGAAATATAGACGGTGATAATATAATATTGGATACAACTGGCTACAGTGTAGAGTTGTTCAACAGAAGTATTGTTAAATGCTACCTTTTTGCATTCCGAGTGGAATATAGAGCTTCAAGCGTCAAACTTTGAAGTTTATTTGAGTAGCGCTTATGTTTTCGCTGCGTGAGGCTGCTAGCCTCATCAATAACCTTCCCTCTTTACCGGGCCTACTATCAGCTAGGCGAGGTTTACGAGTACGTTGGCCGGGAAACGAACCCAGACCACGCGAGTGGTTAGCAGGTATTCTAGCCCTGAACCATCGATGCTTTGAAACGCAACAATAAACATAAATCCTGGTATACCGTTTCAACAGAAACGAAACAAACACAAAGAAATGAAGATGAAAGAACGCCTAGTTTATCTTGTTCTGTTCAAGTTAATAATTCGAGTATATATTTTATTTTTAAACTACAAAAACAGACTGTTATTTAAGGTTTTCGATTTATTCTGAACTATCAAATATTGCACGGAATTAGGTAATTTATTAAAAAAAATATGAGCTGTTCAGTCTAACTCTCAACATCTCCATTCACCCTATACACATATAACTCCCAATTCATCATTTACTTCAATGTGCTATAGTAACTGAAGTAAAGGATTCAATTGCGCGAAAGAAGATAGTGGGCCAAATGCCCGACTTAAAGTATCAATTCAGAAGGAAGTTGGCTTGCAATGACAGATATGTAAGGCGCTATAAATTGCCTGGAATATAATTCGCAAAGTTGAAGAGTCTTCATTTCTACATTACTATTTTGCTTTGAAGTCACTTTTCAAATTTTATTGTTTGCTTACTTCTACTCAACTTGGTGAGTCACAAAAAGCATTTTCAACAGTTTGAAAACTTTCATCAACAGTTGTATTCGCTGCCTCAATACCGAAGATCAGGTGACCAGAAAGAATTAGCTACAAGGAACTACTCTGGGAACGAACCAATCAAAAGCCTATTGCTGAACAAATATATGAAAGAAAATGGAGATGGATAGGACACACATCGAAGAGACCGTTGAGTGATATCAGTCACCAGGCTCTCGAGTGGAATCCGAATGGGGAACGGCGAGTTGGGCGTGGTTCCGAAGGTGACATGGAGGAGATCGTGTGAGGAGGAGATGACTGCCTATAGGCAATCGTGGAGGCAGCTAAAGAGGACTAGAAAGAAGAGGATAAAATCGGGATGTGGTGATGGAGCCTTATGTTTCATTTGGAACCTAATGGAATAATAATAACACTTGACTTTCAGCCAATAAGTTCTGGAGTCCGAATCCCTTCCTACCATCTACTTTGCAGTCCAGCTAATTAGGCTGTATTATCAGCCGTCAAACAATAAACATGACCACGTATAGACTAGCACAGGGAAATTCTACTCTGGGTAACTGATTTCTAAGACATACATATCAACTCACTCAACTGAAATCAATGTTACTCAACAACCACTTGCTATTCCATGCAGTTGGCAATGAGCCACACCAATTGACCGGGGCTGCCCAAACCTCTGTATGTGGAGCGGATTTCAAACTCGTGACCTATTGAGTGGCAGTCTAGCGTCTAAAACCAATGAGCCTCAGCCCCACTACATATAGATATCTAAGTTGTAATGAGTTATGTCCATTATGTTCAATCACATGAAAAAACGAAAGAATAGTATAACCAAGATATATAAAAAGGAGTTAGCCACTATTCCACACTACTTACTCGTTTCTACAAGAGAGAAAAAAATGATACCGCTAAATGCTAGAACTGTCAACATATTAACGACTAGAATGAATTCTAGACTACCTCTTACAACCACATGCTACTATTACACTGAGTAACTTAATTATAAAGCAGCATCAGCATTCTACTTTTACAGCATAAAATATATGGTACTAATTCATCTATCAGTAAACACTGATAATGCCTATAAAAGTCTTTGAAGAAGACCGGAATCAATTCAGTACAACAACAAACACATGAGTGAATGTATTGTTATTCAACAACCACTTCAAATTCCATGCGTTGGAATGAGTTACATCTGTTGTGTGAGTGCTAGTGATACTCTATCCGACTTCCAAAACTTTGGTAGGCGGAGAGTGGTTCTAACCCTTGACTCACTGGTTGGAATTTGATCACCTAAACCAATGAACTACACCTTCACTCAGAGAATAAATAACACATAGTGTAACAGAACCCTATTCATTAAACTTATACAAGTAGTAAATGATACGTTACATTTAAAATGTTAATAGACAGATGACAAGTAGTTCAGCGAAGAGTCTCTTTTCGGCGAATTCATTTTCATAGCTGTACAATCGAAAATATATATGGTTGTTTTGTATGTGTGTGTACATTAAATTTGTCAAACGAAAATACAATTAGTAAGTTCAGATGAATTGGATGTTGATATATAAGAGAGTAGTAACAAAAGTGATGAGTTGTCACAAACGATTGTTAAAGAAGAGTTACGTAATAAAACGAAATTACAATTATTCAGTTCAGGTGAATGCCTCTAGAGGAATCAGAACTGTGCATACAAAAGAAAATTATTCAACCACTTCTACTCCCATGGTTACAACTGTGTTGATTTGACTTAACTTTTCTTTGTTTGTTTGTTTGTTTGATTTGACTTAACTTTTGTTTGTATGCTTATTTTTCTACTTAAAACCCTTGTGTAATTCCGTATATTTTGTTTCCATGTACACCCTGAGTACAACTCTTTCATTAAACTATTCATGTTATTACGTAACTCTTCTTTAACAATCGTCTGTGACAACTCATCACTTTTGTTACTACTCTCTTATATATCAACATCCAATTCATCTGAACTTACTAATTGTATTTTCATTTGACAAATTTAATGTACACACACATACAAAACAACCACATATATTTTCGATTGTACAGCTATGAAAATGAATTCGCCGAAAAGAGACTCTTCGCTGAACTACTTGTCTTCTGTCTATTAATGTTCGAATGGGAATTTTTCATGAACATTCAAAATGTGATTATTAAACTCAGAGAAAATGGACCTGGAATTTACTGCTTGAACGTTGACCGCTCAAGTTAATGAATTATACATTCAGAAAAGCTTTAAGGCCAAAAAAGGATGCATTGAATGCCTTAAATAGAAATTTATTTAGATTTTCGATATGTACCTTGTTACTGTCAAACCTAAGATGATGCTTCAGAACTGTGTATGAATCGACTGCTACTTTAAGGATACGAACTGAGAAAATCGACTGTGTTCATGGCCTCACTGAATTAGGAAGAGGCGTCAAACATAATGTATCCAACATTGACACGATGTCACCAGGGATACTTGCGGATTTTCACTAACTTTGAAGGTAACAAGATATCCAACTACTACTACTACTAGTAGTAGTAGTTAGTAGTACGTTCTGTCCTTCTTTAAGGCTGAGGCATAGCTGTTGACAGTAAGACTGCTTTTGTCCAGCTGTCTATGTTAAGAGCAGAAACACGCTCAAAAATAATTAGATAAGGAGTAGTATGTAGACAGACAAGAAGAATATATCGACCAGTAGGACTACGAGTTTTAATCTAATGAGATAAATGATAAATAGTCTTCTTCGAGAAGCCATTTTAGCCGAATTAAGATTATGTTGGAAAATGTAAGTGTAGAACTTGGACACTGTGGTAGAATGTAATTCCATATTAGAGAAGTTTGTTTCAAATATCATACAGTGACGCAGTATTAATAACTGGATGACATTTACAGCAGGATTTATTGCTCATAATCATTTCAACTTAGTCACATGGCTTCACCATTTGCTTTATATAGTACTACCGTATAAAGAAGGAACTTCACAGGCCTTACATAGGATTCTCAATGAAGCCGGAATTACGGTGACATTTAAAACAAACAACCAACCAACCAACCAACTCTCTCAGAGATAAACTCTTTCGGCTTAAGGACACAACACATCCAATTAAGAAGAAGAATATAGTTTACCAAATACCATGTAGTCACTGTGACGTCAACTACCTTAGGTCAGTCAAACTGGTAGAACGAGGTCAACTAGATTATCGACACACAAAAGCTTATCCAGGTATAGAATGATTGACCCCACCTAAGTTAAATAACCTAGACAATAGAGCTCAGCCATTGCATTGCATTCACTTGCATGTAGTCACAAAATAGGGTGAGTGGGACAGGGTGAGAGTATTGAGAAGCAACACAGTTAGGTGGACAGACAAAGAGGTCAATCACTGAAGCCTTGTTTATCTATTCAACATGTGCACATGTGCAATCGGAATGACGTAACGCCTATACTGGAGATATGGAGGGTGGCAACAAACAACAAAGGGAAGTTGGAGAGAGAGGGAGGGAAAGAGAGAAAATGTATACAAAACAAACTGTCTAGTTAGACTAAACGGCAAATTTTTAACCTCACTAAGATTTTCACCAAAAAATAAACTAGAGTACCTCGACATAACCAAAACTGACTGCCTTCAATCTTGAGCTATAATCCTAACAAAAAAAGATTTTCTTTCATACTACCTAAAAAATATGATCAAGAATTGATATCATTTAGAGAACCAACCACTGAACATCAGAGTGTACCGGACAGATGTCCCATTCTAGTTTGGGACTGAACACACGCCAGTAGTACGCATCCATGATCCCATAGGGGATCAAATCCAACACTTTCAGGTTACGAGGCAAGCCTGTTGATCATTCAGCCATTAACTGACTGACCGATTGACTGAGTTTCAACATAGAACAACTTTACACAAAAAAGTGCGACAATTTAAGTTACCAAACTCCATATAGCCCACAAAGGCAGTGAAAAGAGAGAAATTTAAAAGAACTGCAATGAGCAGAAATGTACGGAAGAAAGAATAGTTAAATGGTGAAGTATGAAGAATTAATGAATCCGGAAGATTACAAAGAGTGAAGGCATCTGAGGCACTGACGGCGATTTGAGCCACATCACCAACAGTCTCTAGCCATTGGCTCTTAGAATCCGGTAGACACCAACCAGAAAGTTTGCATCTTCCTACACGGCTTGGACCAACGTCAAAAGAATCCATGGATTCATACCATGTTTTGGTTTGACCACCATCCTAATCCTATGTCACCTAACAAGGCGGTGTCTTAGCGTTCGAACAACTTGTCTTAGCCGTCTCAATCGAGGTAGCTTCACAACCTCATCGATTAACTCCCCTTCCCTAACTAATACTGTATGCTTAACCCTAAGCTTACTCGCCTTATTATACCACATAACACGGAAGATAGAACACAAACATCTATGGCTAAAGACAACTAGGCTTTTCAAATCTCCCACCTTCAATGGATATATCTGATAACAATAAAGGAGAACAGAGAGTACGGCGTGTGCAGTAAACATATCCTTTGATTGGTAGTCTGATATCATGTTTGCGTCATAGATGAAGTAAGTTGGTAAATACCACATCGGCCTTTTATATTCGTGCTGATATATTCAGCAACTGAGGCGGCACCGAATGGTCTATAAAATCATAACTTCTGTCAACTAGCTAAACACCAAGCGACCAAAGAGAAATAAGACCACCAGTGTGACAGACCACAGTCAACAGAAATAAAAAATACTTACTTGATACTCAGAACTATCATCATTACTCGGTTCAATGTCCAATGCAGTACTTGCATGATTATTCTGATGCCTCATAGGAGCTGAACAAGGTAAAAAATAAATTTAAAAAAGAACAAAAATAAATTCGACTAGGGATCAATATATACAATAAAAGTGTATACAAATAGTTATATGATTAACCAACCACTACTTACCAGTAATATGCAAGTGGTTCATGTCACCTGTATAAAAAGATATGATAAGAATACTAATAGTAATAATATTAATATTAATAATATAGTCTTAATACAAGGCATATTTTAGCCCACACATAATGCAATGCAGTTTACACACTATATAAACGGTCTATGCATTATTTAAATATACCTGATTTTTTTTATATTTTTGATTACAGCTTGATTCCACACCGTATTTTTGGTACAGGTATGGAATTTTCAGCATGTGATATCGGTAGCCCAAATTTTGCAGGCTGACCATATATATCAGGTGTGCGTCGGCAGGGGATCGAACCCCGGACCATGTGCATGGTCGGCGAGAGTCCTAACCACTGTGCCACCGGCGCACAGGAATAGGAATCATTTTATAAAATTCAACGGATTCATTATATTGTGACGTGTGCTATTGAAAAAAAAAACAACTAGTAAGTGGTACATTGCACGCGTGTATGTATGATGTCACTTTACAAGAATCACGACTGGCGGAGCGATGGATTAAGTTGCAACACGGAGAAATGAAAGTCATCACCATAAAATTAAGGTTTTAACAAAAAGCAGAATACGAATAACTTTGCAACGTGTGGTATCTTTAATTTTGATTGGACACTGACTAGTGTCATGTGTCTAGTCCTGTGTTTACTGCAGACTGGATTTTATCAGTCAAGTTTGCAATGTGTCCACCATGTGTTAGGTGGTTCTCCGTCACGGAGAATATAGAATTGTTTTTATTGGATGGTTGGAGGTAATCGGCAGGAAGCCTTGAGCCTAGGTTTCTTGCTTGTTGACACTTGTCAGTAAATATCTCAACAGGTGATTATGAATGTGACAATAATACGGATAGTTAACAAAGCTAAATTTAAGCTCAATGAATCACAATATTATCAACAATCAGAGAGAAATATATACGACAAAACAACACAGTGGAATCGTCGGTATTGTGATCATTATTACGTTATACTTTTATGTCAGCATACAAATTCGTTTCACACAATAATACTGACGTAATTCTCTTTTGTGTAGTTCCTGTTTCTGGTTGTTCATTCCTGTGTTTAAAAAACAAAAGTTTGTCTTTTCACCTGCTTTTTCCTATTATATCTGCAGACTGTTTATGCAATCTAGCTACTATGGCGACACAATGTCCGTTAACCTCTTCGGATCGATATTATTATTGTCTCTTACTCAAAATATGTATAAGTATGTATTTCGAAAGAATTTTTAATGGCTACTTTAACACAATGTCAATATCCAGTCATAAGTTTGTTCTCAATTATAAGGTATTTGGAATTAATTAATCGGAACAGATACTTCACATGTAGGAGGGTGTGAGCCAAGCACTTTATGTTAACGATAATGATACTACCCAGTTGAACAGACTGAACTAGGTGAAGCAGGATTCAAACCCAGGAGCCGTTGGTAAAATCCCTGGTTGTTAAAATCAATAAGCTAAATATCATATGATCTACTTTGAAAAAACTAATGGGTAGAGACAGTTGATGATATGGATCAAAGCTGTTCTCTCAGTGGGGTGCAGATGCATTCACTTTTTGTGACATTCCAGATTCACATTAAACTCCAATGTTTTTCTCATGTTACTATCCTTTCTCCCATACATTTTCACTCATGATGGCATCTTTGAATCCGTTTTATCTACCTTTTGTCTATCACATCTGTGTGCTATGGGTGGTGTGGCAACTTGAACTGCTGCACTTCTGCGCAAACATCTATGTTGAAATTCAGTCATTCAGACACTTCCAAGAAGCTATACAGAAAAAAATTCTATTATCTCATGTTCAACTCGTTACATATAGGACACAAACTATTTGTTTAACCCAATATTTCGACAAAACAATAAGAAGACTTAATTTATCTGAAACGTGTAGTGTCTTTACGCAACACACATTTCGGACATTCCGATCACACACTTATGTAAAAGGCAACAGAGTATAAAGGGTCACAATTTTTATCAATTGGGGTCAAAATATTTTTGCGGGTCACGATCACAAATAAGAGTTAGGAAAGGGGTGAAAATATCACTATTATTATTATTATCATAGTGACAAGTAAACATTTTAACTTTTAAGTAACTTGAAAATCCCCATTCAGTCATATATAAAAGAAAAGAAGGCGTTCAGCGAAGAGACTCTTTTCGGCGAATTCATTCACTGAGCTGTACAACCGCATTTATATACAATTTTGTTTGTGTGTGTACATTAGATTTATAAAGTTTAGATAATTACGTAATATAAGTATTATTTGGCTTGGAAACAAACGTTAATTAGATAGAAAATAAAATAAAATTGATTAAGTGAATTGGATGACGTAATACAGTTGAGTAGAATTCAGAGTAGGTCAGGTTGGCAACAGTGTTAATGAGTGGTGGTTAAAATTAAATAAGGGTGGGGGTAGAGAATAATACAGTTGAAAATTAAGTAAGTTAATCGGATGACGTAATATAGTTGACTAGAAATTGGACGTGGGTCGAGTTAGCAACATTGTTATTGAGGGTAGAGATTACAAAAGGGTGGGGTAGAGAATAATACAAATGAAGATGTGAAATAATAAAATGCAAAAGACAAAATAATACAATTAGTAAGACTGAAATTAAGAAAGATTACGTCCATTGTAGATTTAATGAATGAACGAATTTCTTTTGTATGCAGAGTTCAGGATTTAGCAGATGAATTGCCATTGCTTCTGCGATGTGGAGAAGTTTGATCCGTACACTTTTAGCAAGATTGCCTTGTATTCTGTAGATAACTTTGAAGTTTATTTGTGGTTTGACTTGGTGTCCTGAATCGATCAAATGTTCAAGGATCGAGCTGCGGGGGCATCGGTTTTCTCCTTTATAAAACCATGAAGGTAAATGTTCGTTGACGCGTTTGGATAGCGAACGCTGAGTACGGCCGATATACCTGGCTCCACACGAGCAGGTGAATTGGTAGATGCACATAGATGAGGCCAACAGCGGTAGCTTATCCTTCACGTTCATGCGAATCATTGGTCTCGTGGAGAACGTCAGTCGTAATTCAGCTGCAAAGAAGGTTTTCTTCAATGAGCGGGAGAGCCAATTTCTCAGTATTTCTGTAGATTGGTCTCCATTGAACTGTAGGTTCATATAGAGAAGTCTTTTTGGAGCACTGGGTGTGGGCGGTTCCTCTGGTCTGGGTTTCATTGATTTTGTGATAAATCTTTCTGGATAGCCATTTTCAAGGAGGATTTTCTTAAGAGTGTTCATTTCATCTTCTATGGCGTCTAGGCTGCAAATTCTACGTATTCTGTGGCTTAGTGAACGGATTAAGTTTCGTTTAGTATATAGATGCACCCAATAATTAAAATAACCTATTCTATTTATGAATTTAACCTTTTTACAAAAGTAATAATAATAATAGGCTGATCTTCATTGTAAGATGATATTTATGAGCAAAATTATCTAAAGATGGCTTCAGTTCTCATAAACACCTTGAATTTTTTTTTCACAATCGAAAAACAAAACACAAATGTGATAATTACATTATCCTCAAATTTATCAACATCACCCTTAACACTAAGGGATAGGACATCTGAGGTCAGTAAATAAATACATTATCTATCTAAAGAGTTATATATTAAATACATATTGGTTGAATGGTCGATGTGATGAGGGGAGTAATTCTTTGCAGTGTTGTGAATTTCTGAACTAGGACAACATAGCTGTGGATTGTAATGTTTGTTTCTATTGTGATTTTGGCTTTATGACAAAATCTAACCTGGTTATCCATCTAATTCTATCTGTGAAGTTTTTGACTGTTGGTTTCAGTCAGCTGGATAGGCTGATGCAGACAGTTTGGTTAGGATCCGTGAAACGGAAGGAACAAATGGTTTGAGATTGTTGATGACACTTTTCAAAATCACTGTCAGCAGTGGAGGTGATTTCACTCTTTGCAATCTAACTCACAGATCCATTACACCCTCATGTTTCTCCATGTTACTATTCTTCCTCCCGTACATTTCTGCTGATTATAAATCTTTCAAATTTCTTTTTTTTCTCTACTTTAGTGTGCTACATGGAGTACAGCAACTTGAACTGCTACACCTCTCTATGCAGAGTTCTACGCTGAAATACAGTCAGTTAACTACAACACTATAACCACTAAATTTAGACTGTAAGTACATACACACAATACTGTTTAACAGTATCAAATAATTTTTGTGATGAAATGATTTAAATGTTACTAATCAACAGCAGCCATTCGTATTCGGCCGCACAAAGCGCACGCTTTCCAAACGCATCTCTGAGCATTATCCGGCATGGTTAGCAAAGGGACAATGTAAGACAATTACTAGCTCAATTCTCGACCATTTGGTGAACTCAGGCCACGTAGCTCCACCAGAGTCGTCTTTCAAGATCATCTACAAAGTGAAGCCAAATGGTACAAAGGGCGTCAGGTTTCGGCTTTTGTGTATGGCGGAGGCGCTGGCAATTCATCAATACAACCCTGAACTCTATACAGAAAAAGTTTGTCCAGTCTCTTATTCTACCTTGGTCTTAACCTCTTCACTAATCGTTCCTTGTAAATAAAATATATTTTGATTTTTTCTTTTCATTCTAATTTCACTTTTAGTTAGCTTTTGCTTTAATAATTAATTCACTATTATCACTCCCATATGCTCCTTTTGTATATTTTCACACCCTCTTCACACTTGTTAAATTGACACTCAAATACCTTTATTCTCACTTAATAGCAATTTTAACCTTATCAAATTTCTATCTTTTTGCCGTTGAGTACCACGTAATTTTCAACTTCTAATTTTCACTTCTAAAGCCACTTCTGAGTAATTATATCAATTATGTCACCCCCTATTACTCAATAATAGACCACTATATATTTTTGTAAGTATAAATACGATTGTACAGCCTCTGAAGATGATTTCGTCGATAAAGAAAATTTTCTTCGCTGAATCTGTCTTTTATTCCCATGTAGTTGACAATAAACTACAAATATTGTGTGAAAAGCTAATGACTGATCGATTAATTGACCATTATTACTATTCCCTAGGATTCCGAGTGGAGCATAGGACATCAGCAGCACATCTCCGTTTCACTCTCTTCTCTTCAGTCTCCTTTAGCTGATTTCACAATCGCCAATAGGCTCTCATTTCCTCCTCACACAATCTCTTCCATGTCACTCTCGGCAGCCCAAATCGTCGTTTCCCATTCGCGCTCACTCTTGTGGGCCTGGTATATGATGTCATCTAACGGTCTCCTCCATGTGTATCTGATCCATTAGCATTTTCTTTGGCATATTCACCCAGCAACAGGTTCTTGACTAGTTCGTTCCCAGAGTTTTTTATTGCTAATTCTTTCTGGCTATCTGACCTTCAGTATGGAGTCAGTGAAGGCAGCTGTTAGCGAAAGCCTGAAGTCTGCTGGAAGTGCTTTTTGTGACGTGCCTGCCAAGTTTCTGACCCATATAGAAGAACTGACTTAGCACTGGTGTTGAAAATCCGAGTTGCGTTCTTCATGCTGAGTGCAACAGATTGATGATACCACTTGGGTATGTTAACCAAATCTTGAAGCAGTATGTGACACAGTGTCAATCTCACCTAAATCAATCGATGGGGTTTCGGGTTCGAGTTCCGCTCCACCTAATTTAGCCTGTGTGACTACTGGGTAATTAAGTATCATCAGCCGTTACATAATAATTGTGTGACTCATAGCCCAGTTACTGAGTAATTAAGATCTAAGCAACTAACTAATTAACTAACTAACACTGATAAAACAAAATAGTTTTTAATAGTTATAAAATAAACAACTTTAAATTATAAATAAATAGATAAATAAATTTACTTGTTTCATTCACTATACATCCATTATCTAATGTGGCATCAATAGTTGATAATTTATTCGATTTCAACTGATTTGTACAACACGATAATTCTTGTAATTTACGTGGAAACATTAATAGAATAACAGCACCGATGAAAACAAGAATACCTGATAAAGAAACGAGAGAGAGAAATAGTGAATGATTAATAATGAAACAAATAATCAATATTAATAAACAATCATGTATATATGGATATAAGTGTACCCACTGAGTAAATGCTAGGTATAATAACTGATTACTTTGATTGGACACTAACTACTAGTGTCATGCGCCTAGCCCTTTGTTTGCTTACTACCTCCATACTAGGTGATGGTAATAGCTCATTGGTAACGTCTCTGACTGCAGCATGGTTCGGATCACAGAAGAAACATGAGTTCCTTCAAGACTGCAGAGCCTTGCTGACGAGTGCCAACTACCACGAAACCTAGGTCCAAGGCTTCCTGTCGATTGCCCTCAACCATCTAATAATAGTAATAATACCGACTACTTGGTTAAACTTCAAAAGATGGGAAAACATTGAGCATCACTGAAGCGAAGTAGCCAGAGTTTTCTCTGTATATTAGTTATTTTGAAGGCTTGATTGATTCCGACTGAATGCTCTATGTCAACCAAGTGCTTAGTGAGTGCACTTGCAAACTTGGACAGAAAGAGAGAAAAAACCCAGTTTTTATTTGGTTGGCGTATAAAGGGTAAGAAGCATCAACAAGAATAGGAAAAAAAGAATCAAAGGAACATTGGAAAGGACATTTCCCGCCGCTACATTGATCCTTGTATATAACACGAAATGCTCGCTAATACAATCCAAAACAATTATTGGTTTGTAGGGATTTGATTGATTGGTTACAGGATTTCATGAATTAGCAGAAGTTGGAATTCATGGACTGGCCATTGGATCGGGTCCCAGTGACTTGATGGTCTACGAGCTCGCTTTGTGACCGGAAGATCCTGGGTTCGAACCCCAGTTGGTGCGTACTGCTAAAGGATCCCAAACTAGGACGAAACAGCTGTCCAGTACTCCCGAGTTTCCCAATGATCCTCTAACCGACATCAGTTCATGATGAAATCCTGAAATCAATAGCGTCTTAAGTAGTAAGTAATAGCATCTTTAACATTTTCCAGGCTATAAGCCATACTTTTGTGCAAAGGGTTGATAATAATACACAGCTGCTTTGGCGCCAAAGTACGTGGAGTGAGATAAGAGATTAGTACAGGAGTTTCTCTCCCAGTACTACGACATACTAGATTTCACAGATCAAAACAAAGCAGTTAAGTAATTGACAGGTGATAGATGGAGTGGGTTTTCAACTCAGATGCGTATGAAATAAAGATTCATAACTTCATATTACTGACTTGCTCTCCTCACTTAAGGCTTTATTTAAATTCTAATCTATAAATTATTTACTATCAAGCTGAGCAGTACTACAAAAAATGTATAGTCAGTACTTGTAGTTTATTTTTTTATGTATTTTGATTTCAGTGAATGCGTTTCACAGCTGTAGAGTTGCGATAGACATAAATATTTAATTTACGTCAACGAAAGCAGGAATTCACAGAAAAAGTGAATTATTCAAGGCTCCTTATTTTGAAACTAAGAGTAAGTCTAGACCAAATCTTCATCATTATCTTCCATTTTTCAGAGACTAAACGTACATCATACATACTGACACGAATTCGAATTCAAACTGTAATCAGCAATTACATATTTGGTTACAGGATTTCATCATGAGCTGACATTGGTTAGAGAACCACTGGAAAACCTGCAAAGAGTACTGGACAGCTGTTTCATCCTAGTTTGTGACTCTTCAACAGCACGCACCCACATTGCGGGGTTCGAACCCAGGACCTTCTGGTATACAAGGCGAGCTCGTATACCATTAAGCTACTGGGACTCGATCCAATGGCCTGTCCATGAATTCTAACTTCTGCCAATTCACGATATAGCGCAACTGCTAGCCAATGTCTTCGGCGAGTATTTGTCCTCACCCCCGACCTGCTGTATCCTACTGGTTACGACTTCCCACTGGAACCCCAGGTAACTACCTACCTGAATAGAGCCAGTCGCCAGTGAGCATCTCATTCATATTCAAGTATTGGTTTGTAGGGATTTGGTTGATTGGTTACAGGATTTCATCATGTTCGTTGGCTTAAGAACACAACTTACAACTAATGGGTCCCAGAGTTCGAGTTCCACCCCACCTACTTCAACCTGGGCCATTGGGTAGTATCATCAGTCCTCACAAAATATGTGTCACTCATACATACCAGAGAACATTGGGAATCGTTTCCGGGTAAATGATCTCAAACAAACAAAGTTTCTTACAAAATTAAACGAATATATCCAGTTGGAAATAGCTATAAAATAGCTAAAATAACTTTCAGCACATGTCTAGTTTGTCTGAACCACAATCCTATTATGATAAATAAACTAAATCTATGAAGACTAAAACGAATTACTAAAAGGTGATCAGCATCTCGCCTTATGCCTCTGATAAAAGTTATCATACAAAATTGCTTAATATTTAAATGTGACCAGTTAATCTGCTTGAGTAACACAATTTATCCAAAATTTTATCATGTGAAAGTATGTGCACTAAGCAATGAGTTACATAAACCGTGATGATGATGATAATAATAATAACTATACTACCTCGAAGTATAGAATTAAACACTTCTACCTAGATAATAAAATCTTTTCAACAAATCTAAATGGAAATCCATTGTGAATGAGTGTTTGTCAAAATTGATGTAACATCCCAGTAACCACTTTGTTTGAGCAGATTCCTACTATTCTCGACAATAAAGAAGTAACTTAAGTCATTTTTCCTCATAATCGCAGTCCAACTTTGTAAATTAGTGTACAACTTGGATCGATGTTGGTTTTCTAATAAAGTCATTACTGGCTTCGTAACATATGAGCAACTACAGCACTAGCATTTCATGAGTATAACCTGCCTAAAGCATCTCCTGACAATGTTCCACTAAATACAAGAAAGGAACTTGATATAGCCGAGAAGTAAGACTGAACAGATTTAAAGACAACACGGTATCTGTAAGAGTTGAATACGAAATAAAGTTTGCACTGCTGAGGACCTAACCACCAACTGCTCACTTAGTCATACATGACCGGTTGTGTCGTTCACTGAGGAAATCTAAGGTTGATAAGTCTCCTTTTCACATTATCTCCAAATACAGGTACCAATCTACATTTTTGTCACAAAGCACACACAATAGATGAACAAAAAAGACGGATCCAAGATACTTTTTTGAATATATATTCCCAAGAACTTGCAAAAGCCTTCTGTGGTGCAATCATTCATTATCTGGTATATATTAACCATGTAATATAAATAAATAAAAATATATTTCAGATAACTGTAGTACGAGTAAGCTCCAGATTGCTACATATTGTTGAAGCGGTAGCTAGCTATTAAGTGATTACAACCGAACCTGTGAATTCTGAAGGAAATTATTGTTTTGTTATTATTATTGTTTTATCATTATTTTTCTCCTTTATTGTGAAATTTTTAATATCTTTGTCACATTAATTGTTCTTAGTTGGACATATCATCCCATACTCTTTATTGACTGTTCTTGACCTTACTGTTTGACTTCTACTCACATTATGCAATCAGTATGAGTCATCTCATTTTCAACATGTAACAATTACGTCATGCGTTGTTTGTTACAACATCTCATATTTTCTGTCAAACGCTAGTCATTCAGTAATAAGTAATAGTGACTCATACCCTGTATGTAATATGAGAATTCTGTTCTGCGTAACTGACCTCAAATAAATAAATAAATAAAGGTCTTCTGTCTTCAAGTTGATTGTGATTGTATTATGTGAATAATTCTGTATAAAAACATTAAAAACTCTTAAGGTTGTAGGCAGTTGGTAAGACCCCATGAAATAATAAAGTACTATTAAGTTATACAGCTTTAATGATTGCTCCTTAATTTGTTCAAGTTTATCAAGAGAAAAAATTATATGCAGGTAGATTGAATAGGTCAAAAAACAACGGTTTGTACTGCAATAAGATGGTACCACCATTTATTGTGTCGGCTACTCATCAGCTGCCTACAACCTAAAGAAAGAAATTAAGGCATGATATTAGTTAACAGGAGACTTCAAAATTATACGTGATATCCGGCTGGCTGTCGACCAAACAGCGTGTGTACTGCTCGGCGCAGCAGTTAGCTCTGTCCTCCTTTATAGCAGTGAGTGAAACATAGCCAGTGAAAGTGGGAGACATGAAAAGGCTGGCTAGCTGTCCTTGATCCTAGGTGTCTGCATTCCATCTCACGTATTAGGTGGTATAAAATGGTGAATAATATTGAGGTTAGGCCTCAGTCGAGTGTTAGGTAGGTGGGAGGGGAAATCAATCGACGAGGTTGTAAAGTAACATCGATTGAGATGGTCGGGACATGTGTTACAGAGGCAATCCTAGTCGTCGCCTTCCCCGACGGGTAATGTTAACTGACTGACATAGGATCAGGTTGGAAAAGAGTTACCTAGTGGTGGTCAAACCAAAACACGGCTTCATCAGTCAATGAAATCCATAACAGTTAGTTAAGTCAGTCACATAGGGAGGTGTAGACTGCCTGGTCGGGGTCCTCAGGGTTTGCAAGACAACAATTGACGTCAGTGTTTACGTCCCAAATCGGGGTCATGAGAAAAAAAACAAGAACAAAGCCTAACCTTGAGGAACTCAACAACCAATCACAGCAGACTTAGCGTGGGCGGATACGATTCGCAGATGTATCACCGGAGTGTCTAAGAAACGGCAACAAAGAGATGACAGAATAACCTTCAGCAGGAAAACAACCAACTAGAAGACATTACCTCTCTGCTAACAATAACGAATTATAATGTAGATAAAAATCTGTAAATCCGTATATCAATAAACGATCTGTTCTATGGCCCTTGTCTTCTGTCGATAAACAATGAAGGCTGGAGACAATTGCTGATATGGCTCAAAATCGTTCACTATGGCTGGCGCAGATGCATTCATTTTTTGTGATTTAAAATATCCAATAAAATTCTATTGTTCTTCCATATTACTACTCTTTTTGTCTCATATTTATGTTTATTATCTCTCCTTTGAATCTCTATTTACTCTCTTCGTTTGCTTTGTGTGTTACAAGGAAGGAGTGTGGCAACTCGAACTGCTGCACATCTGTGCGAATTTCTACGTTGAAACCAGTTAGTCAGTCAAAATTAGTAAGCACTGCTCACAAAATTACAATTATACAACTGATACACAGAAGGTTGCAGTTTAGATGAAATAAAACCAAGAAACAATAAATATTTGGATGCAACCAAAAAGGAGCTGTCTAGTAAAGATGAAGAGTAGAGAAAATGATAATTAACTAATAGGTTGCATAACAATGTGGTGAGTCCAACTTAAATTATAGAAACAAAAGATAAGCAAAATTACATTATACTGAGAAGGGAGAAGAGGTTAAATTCAAAGATTATGTATTCAAATGAGGAAGGAGGGAGTGAAGAAATTCAGTTACCAGGGTAACGAAAGTTTGAAAACTGCTTCTTTCTGAACACATAAATCGGGAATCTAGCGTTTGATAGAAATTGTTTTAACAAACTTGAGGAGAATAGAATTGTTTTGTCAATTGATGAATCTAGAAAATCTCAAAATGCCCATCTGTAGTTTTTGAGTGCTGTCAATCAATTTTGAAGTCCCCTGTTAACTGCCTTCATATTACATATTCAAGTAACCTAAAATTGTTCTGTACGTAAACTTAGTTTCTCTCTTTATATTGTACGCGGCTGATGAGAAGTCGACAAAACTAACGATGGTATCATCTTATTCTACGCAAATCATTGTTTTCGCTTTATTTAAACTCATAAAGGGAGATAAGTGGGATTCGAACTCAGAACCTGTTGGCTAAAAGTAAAGCATTTCAGCCAGTTAGCAACATCTTCATATAGACTGTCGTGTTTGGCATGGAAGACTGAATGTGTCATATCAATATGCAGTGAGATTAGAAGTGTGCCTAAAATTTAAAAGATACACCAGCATGTTGAAGATGAGATGATGATGAAGATCATAGGGGTATTAGTCTGTTTTTAATTGTATTAAGAACAGTCGACAATATCAGTGATGTAGATCTTCTGCCCGGAGAAAAATTTTTTGAATTCGAGGATACAGGCGATATCCTCCCTTATTGTGCAACAATAAACATACTACCTAAATCACACTTAACTAGCTAGAAACAAGTGCGTGTAAGTAGGGTATATGCTTTGCACCATCGAAAGGTGAAGTACTATTGCATGATCCGTAGGAGTCTGTGCAAGCACTCTCCCTCGCAGGTGAACCTTTAGTAGTCAATAAGTTCAAGTAGTTAGGTAGTCGTGTGAGTGGTGGTATAAGTGTGAGGGAAGTAATTTCTAGCTGTCCATTTTCGGTTCATGCCTATGAAACTCGGGCTGTCTGAGCTGAAGATGCGTCGTGACCCTGAGTATTTGATCACCTCTGTCTTTGTGGAATTTCTTGTATCTGCTGGCGCCACCATGTAGGCACTCCTGAGGTCCGACATTAGGCATTCGGACAGGATGGAGATGGTGTTTTAACAAGTGATGTCATCTCGAGGATTTAGCTTTCGCTACTAGAACATGTGCTCCGAATGGTATCCCAGCATTTCCTATACTTCCCATTGCTCGCAAGCCCTAGGAATGGTAGCAACAAGAGAAGATGCTATGCGAATGGAGGCGTTTCAGAATGAAAGATAGCCGTGTTTGGTTAACAAATATAGGTAAGGCCTTGAAAATTATCCAAATAAAGGACTCGAAATGTCACCAGTTACAGCCCAATATCGAAACCAATGATGACTATGTGCTACAAATTCCTTCTTTCTTGTATTTTTGAAAAAAATCAAGTAAGGAAAGTTATTCTAAACGTTCTTGTTACGTGTGCTACCTTGTTCTATATAGTTCAACTGTTTTTCCCTCATATTGCTATTTTACTGTTTTATGTGATTCATTTCTTAATACTCATATTGTGTTTTAGTTACATAAGTAAACTTATCTTGCCCAGAAGCATCGACGACAACATATCACATAATTATACGATATTATATGGTGCTTACGGCTGTAGCTTACAAAATGATCACTGGCATTTTGAACGAATCAACATTTCCATTCTTTGCTATGGCTCTAACTAATCACAAAATTAATACGTGTTCGCTTAATCATCTTCATGAAAACAGGAAAAACAAGATTGGCATAACATGATATGTGAATCTTATTTATAAAATATTCCATTTAGTAGCTGTGACCTTATAGCCTAAAAACACCATTAAAACTGGAGACACTTTGAAACTTAGGTTTATAATGCTTTTGTAAAATAAGATATAAAATACGAAGAACTTTAAAATCCTTCGCTAAGAGAACATAAAAATATGATAAATCAAGTAAAAAAACAATCCAAAAACATTTCTACTCCTTACCCAATAAAATAAATCCTGCCCACCATGCACCGATCCAGTTGGGATCGTGAGGACCAGTTGTGAAAGATGCGTCAGAACTTAAAATATCGGCTGGATACTGTAACAAAAAGGCTCCTAATGCATATCCTACGACAGGGCCCATTGCTGCTGCTGCATACTGTGAAGCTATAATAGTGATTAGAACAAGAAAGAAACAGAAATGAATAAAGTATGTAATCCCGGATGCAATTTAAGCAATAAAGAATAAGCTATAAAATACCACTAAATATGCTCGAAATATGAATTCTACAAAAGCTAACAACAAATGAATATACCACCTCAAAAATACCTATAAAATTTTTAGGAGTGCACATGATTACACGAATCTATTTTATGAAAGATCTAAGACAATCGATAAAAATGCAAAAAAGGCTAGTGTTTAATAAATCCGTAAATTCCGATGGGACTCATCAAGTGAGTAGTGCATCCGTGATTCAATGGTAGAATACTGGCCAACCAATCAAGTGATCCAGAATTCCGGTCGAAACATTCCTGAACTTCGCTTAGCCGATATCAGTAAGCCCGGTAGAGAGAGAAGGTTGAGTGTGAGACTAGCAACCCGAAACTTCAAAGCTCAAGCTTGAAGCCCGATGTTCCACTCGAAACACAAAGGAATGAAATAAATGTAATGGTAACATCAGGTGAGTAAATGACTATCAGATTACAAGGTTAAAATACGCACAAACAAACATCTCCAGTTAATCATTAAGTTAAACAACTATATGAAAAAGATATGTAGTTAATAAAAGGTAGTCAGTTGCATGTCTTGCTATTGAACGGTGATAAAGTCCATAAAAGCACACAAAAAAAATGTAAAATGGAACTAATACGATATAAATAAAGAGAAATATGTAGATCTAAACTCTAAAAATACGAATACAGCATATGAAGTTATAATATTCAAATGTATAAAACTTGATAAAGACCATGACAACAACCAGCCCGAGTCAATTTTTTTAACTTGAAATACTTTTAACCGAAATTAATCACCAACCACTTCTATTTATTCAAAGAATGAACTACAAGAAAGAAAAAGAAAAGGTGACAGAAGCAGAAAAAGATTTACACAACGAAGAAAGTTAGATAACAGTTTAACTCCTTAAAAACAAGTGCTATGCAAAGAACATCTACAAAATAAAACTAAAATGAAATATAAAGGTATTAGTAAACTCTGAATAAACAGCTATTAAGTATTGAAATACATAATGCGTGAAGAAATACAATTTACAGATCAGTGACTTTATTAGACAACCCTTAAGGTGCCTGACATTCCCGACGAACAATAGAAGACATTACTAATGGTCCAAGTGCAAATGCCGGCATGTTCTAAGACATGAATATTTTCATGAACCATTACTCAATTATTTACCTACACCTCAAGTTAATGTCTGTTTTTCCTTCTATTTTTTGCGTTCCGAGTGAAACATATGGATTCAAACTTTTTTCAACTTTCAGTAGCGGTGATTTTGTGTTTACGGAGGATAGTTGCTAGCCTTAAGCCCAGCCTTTTCGCACTCCTGAGTTTACTATCGGCTAGTAAACTAGACGGCGTTTAGGAGTGCGTCAGCTGCGAATCGAACCCACACCACGTGACTGGTCAGCTAGCATTTCACCATTCAACAACTCACCTTAATTCATCCCCATATATGTTTATATTTTTCGTGTTCTTCAAAAATGTGACAACTTTAACTGGTTCCACTCTACATACAATTTTATATCGCGTTTGTCTACTTTAAGTAATAATTCTTGACATAAGTATAAAACTTGGGCACTGTGGTAGAGTATAATTCCATAATGGATAAGATTTTATTTTGATAAATCACACAGTGTGTCATCTGGTTGTGTAGTACAGTTATATTAACTGATGACGTTTCGAGCACAACTTGATATGATTATGAGCAATAGTTTGTGCTCGAAACGTCATCAGTTAATATAACTGTACTACACTGTGTGATTTATCAAAATAAAATCTTATCCATTATGGAATAATTCTTGACATTTCACTAAAATGAAACCCTCCATGTCATCAACATTTTAGAATATTTTGATTTTCCCACGTTAGTCTTCAAGAAAAAATTTCAGCGTGAACCAACACGTCAGCTAGAGAACCTCTGAGATTCATGGAGAATTAGACGGCTGGTTTGCCTAGGTCTGTGACTTTAAGATTACATATCCATGGACCTACCAAGGAACGAAACAATGAGCAGTCTAATAAGACGCATAGTCCTTCTAATTCACCATACCTGACACGTTGCTCACATTAAAAAAGTATTAAGAGCGTTGCCACTATGACAGTCAAGAGAAACATATTTCATAACACTAGATTTTTTTGTCCAGTCAACGAGTCTTCAGGATATTAGAAACCAGTGATAAAAGACTATTAATAATACACTTTATGTCTTTTTAACAGTTGGCCACACAGTGTTAAACTTTTTTCATTCTGTGAGAAATGTTGCCAAAACCAAAAAATTATCATTATACGTATATAACCATTAAAAACATAATTACAACAAACTGACACATTCCATAATGCACAAATATTTCACAAACATTATACTTTATGCTCCTCATAAAGGCACAGATATCTTCATTATTGGTTATCAGTGATATCCTGAAGTGCTTCACTAACCATTGTTTGAATCATTCTCCCATCTCACTGTTTTTTCCTGTTTAGGATCATTCATCTTCTATGGTGTTTCAAAACATGATAACTTGAACCCATACACTTTTGTGCAAGGTTTCGCCTTTGTCTTCTACTAATACTAGGATGAGCTATTCAATGATTTACAGAATAACTTACAGTCGGTTTAAACCAAGTATAATAATTAATGGATTGAAAATTTGCAAGTCAAACATAATCACTTTTATAAAAATAGCATTTAACAGAATTAAAAACAGGCGAAAAGTGAAGGAAAACCTACCAATCATAGGAGGTGCTTTGGAAGAGGGCACATGGTCATCGATGAAAGGCGGAGTCAGTGTCAAAATTGGACTTGAACCAGCACCGATTAGCAGTTGAGCAGTAATAAAGATAGGGAGAAAGGCATAACCCATCGATGAGGATTCTGAACACCCATTTAACTTGTCATTACAATCTTGAGTACAAGTACTTGAATTGGTAGGTAAAACACAGAGTTGTTCACTTAGTGCAACAGAGCTTGATCTATTTTTATCAAAGAAGATGAAATGCGGTAGGGACCACAAAAATGCTCCACTAGACATAGCAAAAAGACCAATTGATATCCAAAGAGGAACTCGACCGTGACTTCCAACATAGCTGACATATATAACAGAGAAAATATATCCAACTTCAAAAAACGAATTGATAACTCCTATAATACTACTTCCAATCGCAAAACGTTTTTCAAGGGTGGTCACTTGAGAACTTGTATAGCCGGAAAAAGCAGCCTGTAAACAAGATATGATGCAAGCAGCAGCGAGGAAAGCTTGTATATTTCCAGTACTACGCAAGCAAGAGGGACGCCAACGACGAATACCACAGTATAATGAATAATCAGGACTTTCAGGAGAGACGACTGTTTTTGGAGTTACATTTAAATTTGCATTTCTAGGATATTGATAGTCTTCTTCACAATTCTGCAATTGTTGACTGGCAATAGTTTCCAATTTCTTGGGAATGGCCAAAGCCATATTATTATTCTTCATAAATTATATCAAAACACAGGCTGCGATGAATCCACCCAGTTGGAACTAAGAGTTAATCGGGAAGACTACAGTTAGTATATAATTGACTAATAAACATTATAAACAAATTCAGACAATAGTTACATATGAAAAACTACAATCTCAAGTATTTTATATTTCTAACCACCGCTGTTCGCCCAAAGACAATGTGCGGAGTGATAGGAGCACCTTACCAAAAATGATACGAGTCCACTGTTCCATATTAACACTTTTTTAACTGACTGTCATACTTATGTCAGCAAAGATCATGATTGGGTGTCTTGTGAACTGCACACTGGACTCTTAGAATATGAATTTGACAGATGCAATCCACTTAACGATGTAGTTGCCTGTTAGAAAGGGGGATTAGCACAGGATTACATTAGCATATATGCGTGAATCTGTCTATGCACTTGGCCCTATTTACTCAACGACTATGAACATAGTCCCTACGGCCCCTGTGTTTGTCTACTCCGATGGCTACCAGTAAACCTGTAAAAAAGGTACCAGTATAATTTCCATGAAAACCAGAATTATGGCAAATATGACTAGAAAAACGCATACGTCAGAGAAACAACGTAGCCAACAACACTCCTAATTATCACGGAGCAATCACAATGTTAAGCAATACAGTCGGTATCACATGGTCCACGTTAAATTTTTCTGACGACAGATACTATTCCTACTTAAAATATGACACGACCATAGAAAAAGTTGCAGGTAGTAACCCCGGAATCAGGACTAATAAGTGTGAATAAAATGCAGCTACTATAGTAATGACTTCTGCTGTCTTTTGGCATTTATAAGGAAAATATTCTTATTATCATTACTAGTGACGCAGTTCTTGCTGGTTGTTGAGAAAAAACTACATAACAAATAGCGTCAACCACGTCCTATGATTCTAAAATCGCCTTCAAACTGAAAGAATTCTAGCATCGCCTTACAACGTATTAAATGCACCACAGTAGTGTGCTAATTCTACCTACCATTCTGTCCTTGAGAATCTTGTAACCCCGGTTATCAAGAAAACATAATCATGATTCGGTAAAACAATAGCCATCAAGGAGAGACATTGAGCTAAAGCACTTAGGTGAATAAAGAATAAATAAGACATATCCAAAAGCGCTCTTGGTTCTATACTTCTGCTAATCTTTCTGCTGGGTAATTTGATGTAATCTGGAAACCCAGATGTAATTATCATCACATAGACTTGGCTTACATCCGATGTCAATGAAAGCGAAGTTAACCTGCCTAACTTCATAGTGAATAGGGTTAAACGACCAATCCGCAAAGAAGCTGGCGTAGTTATCCACCTCAAGAAATGCCTAACCGTGCGTAGCTCTGAAGCTCTTGCTCACTAAATTGAGATGTGCGAACTTCTACGCTGCAGACTCAAATGCATAGCCCAAGATATTGACCTCACTACTATATACAGCAGTTATGACTGCAATGCTGGCGACTACCTAATAGAGAAGCTAGACTGCTAGGCCTCAACAGATGCCTGGACAAGCCTTACAACGCCATCTTCAGTTAACTCCTTTGATTATAAACTACTGGAATCTAACATTTTGCCAGCCTTAGTCCAACATGTCATTAAGCCCACACTCTATGACTTACAGCACTCCTCTCCAACTATGGACCTATTGGTCTCCCATGGTGAGAACGTGGACCTCATAGAACATCTTCCTCCTTTAGGAAGAAGTGATTACACTGTGCTCACTTTCAAGTTCACAGCAGCAGTACCATGGGCCGAAATCCCAGCTCAACCAAACGTTTGGAAAGCTGATATAAATGCGATCATCTCAGCAGCCAATTCATTGAACTGGAACATAAAACCAGAGTCCAAAGTGGAAGCCTCGTGGAACCAGTTTAGACAACTTTGCTCTCTCATTCACTGGTCTGTCGCAAAAAAGGTTCGGGATTATTGTCATTCTTGAATAAGCTGGGAGATTCGTAAATTACTCGATATGAACAAATGCTGAAACCTGTCTACCATAATTGAGACCCCTGGGACTAAGAGGCTGTACAAATTCGCTAGAAACAAAGCTACTGCGGAAATACGACAATCGAGGATAAAGTTCGAAATGCATCTGACCCAAAAGAATTTTCTCACACATGGTCTTCAGGAATAAGAGATCTAATGGGGTCTCAAGCTTGACTGTTGATAACGACACAATCAAAGAGGATCAAGGAAAGGCAAAAGCAATTGCAGACTACTTCTCTTTACACAGGAGTCATAACTCCCCATATGATCAACTCTGGCTTAATCAATGTTTTAAATTTTAAATAATGACTACGGACCTGACCTATTATTTCTTTTCCTTCCAATCGGAACACCTTAGAGGACATGCAGGAGAGTTCAAAAGCCAAGGAGAAATCATGTTGCTATGGAGAACTCGTTCTCACACTGATTCATAAACTCCTGGAACCGACTTTTAGAAGAGGTGATCTCAGTAACTTCAATTAACTGAATCAAGAAGGGTTTGGACAAGCACAGGAATTTAATCGAAAAGGATTAATATAGGCTTCAAACCTTCTATCCTCAAACAACAGATATGAAACTGAGCATTTTTTTAGTGTTTTGTCTCTACTAACCTGGTCTTGAAAGTGGTCGTGGACAAATGCTATTTGAGAGGATAAGAACGTGGTAGCTCCGGAGTTTGGTTTTTGTTATCTCCGTAATTCCTCATTATTTTATTGATCCAGGTACGCCATTCTGGAAGTGTGAGTTCAGTATTCTTCATCAATTAGTTGGTTTTTCGTTAAGTACAGCCTGGCAATCAAGTTAGGATGGATAACAACAAGGAGGTCGCTGGCCGTACTTTCACTGGACGACCAGTGGCATTATTTCTAGTTGAAACCAAACATACGATGACCTAAAATCTCAAACAACTAACTAATGGTTCTCCTAGAACAGATGAGAACACCTTGACAGAGACCGTATCTCCACGTTTTTCGAGGCTGCCGAGTAATTTTCACCAGCGCTTTTTGCAGACACCTTATTCTCTGGGAAGCCGTAAACATTTTCCGCTGAATACACATTCATCCCTTTTTCTGACATCCTTCCTTATCTAATTCATCCTAATCAACCTGATAAACTTGGTATACAACGCTCAGATTTTAACTGTGCCAGCACTTAAGATATATCAACCTGCAATGATTAGTGCTTGCGGCTTCACCTGACAAGCAGTATATGAGATCTGAAACGAAAGTCCTGCAGAACATGAAGTTATATATGGTATTGCACTTCTATCCTGGCTTTATACCTGTTTCTTTTAAATCAAATTGTGCCAACTATCAACTAGTTACAACCTATCATGCCGCCATAAAAATGAATCATTTCGTCAAATATGTAACAACAATAATCCTGTTGATGTGATTTGAGTTCCTACCTCCCTTCTCTGAATGACCCACACATAAGATTAGCGAAATTCAACCCGAAGTCACCTAACTCCGAAATGGCTTGTCTACTGCATATTTCACTGAGTAAATCTAAGCCGCATACCACGTACTGAAATGAAAGCAGTAACAATGACTAATCACCCAATAATCAAGCTTTAAATGAGGAGGGAAGTCCTTCATGGAAAAGATACATGCATGAAAATCGAAATATAAGTAACTAATGATCTGTGATTACAACTCCTCATCACGTAAGATTTAAACCATACATAGTTTCCTTACACATGATACTTATGTCTCAGAATATCAGTTCAACTACAGTTGACTATTCAAAAAAACTTACCTTTGTCTGGTATACGAAAGCTCATCACCCGGATAACAGTCCTCTATAGTGGCCCGTATCTTGGAGAAGAAAGCGCTAGTTCAAATTTAAGGTGTGCCTAGTGGTCAACAACAGCCAAGCTCCTTACTTGGTGTGAAATTTTGTGTCCCCCGTGTACGCCAGTTACCATTATCGATAAAGTGTCTCGACCGCCCTTTGCTTTGCTTCTCATTTAAAGTTTACTGTGGTGTGCGTGATCCCTAATTCTCTGTATTGTCTATTGTAGAACACGCAGAGCCTGCGGACATCGTGCAAATCAAAACGAGGCGTCAAGAGTTTCCAATCTGCAGACGATCTTTGCCCAGCTGCTCACCAAGAAGGTGCAGAACCTCCGCTAACAGAGCAGTCGTCAAGCTGCCGATCGTTAAGCCTCAGGTGGATTTAGTGCAGGCGATTACGACTGCAGTTCAGAAGACTTTAGCTACAACTGACAAGAAGGAACGTCCTGAAACTTGCAAACCGCAAGTGAAATTCATCGCACAGGACAAGTATGTTCCAAAAGAATTGTTCACGCTATGGGAGGAGCAGTTCAGCAGTGTATACAACAGTTCAACGAGGAACAAAAAGCCAGAGCTGTAACATGATCCTTCCCTCCACCTGCTTTGGAATGTCTCAAGATAACCAGTATCATTATTTCAGACATAGCCAATGTAGAAGCTTGTTTACGTCCATGAGCCCTCCATTCGCTCCGCGACGACGAGTCGTCAAGTGCCAATCCACCTTTCACGTCTGCATCTAACGGCGAGGGGGAAGTGATGAAGAGTGTTTATGGCGCCGCAAAACTGTCACTTTTGGCCTTTGACAGAGATTCCCCAGGACCGTTCGTTTGAATATTACGCTCCAGTTCGAAGAGTGACTGCTTCTAGGGCAGGCGAGTGACAGCGTCATCGAGAGCGGTCTGAAATCACCAATTGATGCACTACGGATTGCTAAGGAGGAAGATTTGCTGTTAAAGCTACGTAAGAACGAGGAAGGGATTGAATGGTCTTCTACTGTGTCTCCCTACAGTGAACCAATGAACTCTCACCAGCAAGGTAACAGGGCCTCCACACAGAGAGAATGGAGACTACGATGGTGCCCTAGATTTGTTCACAAACCAAGACACCCTCCAAGTGGCTCCTTGTGTAGTTAGCCACCCACCGACTGTTTTGATAAGATTCTAAGATGAAAAGCTCATTGACTTAGTAGATACCAGTGTATTTATTTCATTTTATTTTTACAGCATACACACCGTATTCAGTACAAGTGTGAATTTCAGCATGGATATCGGTAGCCCAAATTATGCAGGCCGACCATAGATATCGGATGTGCGTACCTTGTTGTCAGGTAGGCATTACAGTGGCAAACTAATAAAACCACTGCCGATCTACGACTTCGAGTGACAAACAGACCAAGAATTAAAAAAATAATCAGGGAACCGTAAATCCCGTAGGAAGGTAAATTGGTAGAATATAGCATCGCTTTTGGTGTTTGATGAACTCTCATTGGACTCAGTTGTCGACTATGATCTTCTATATACCTGCAAGGCCTCTATCTATATTGAATCTCAAAAGCTTACTCTATTAGGTCCTAAATTACGGTCTGAGTCAGAAAAATATCACGTCTGCAGCTGACTGTGGATTTAGTTGAAACGACTTAGGTGGAAGAAATGTTAGTAGAGGTTCCTGGAGAACAAAAAGAGGTCATACGAAAGCTAATGTAGGATTTTTCTCAGGTTGCTTTGTGGTCACCCGGTAACCCAGGTAGAGCAACAGCTATCAAGCAACAAACCGACACTGGAATTTGTGATCCGATAAGACAGGCATTTCAAGGAGCTCCCTCCTTACTTGTGTCCAATCAAAGAATGCACTACAGTCCTACAGGAGGTCAATCGCGAGACAGAATGGCTCAGTGGTAACGTCTCTGACTGCAGCACCAGGTGACGCGGGTTCGAATCTTAGAAGGGAAATGATTTCCTTCAAGGTTGCAGATACGCCTTGCTGACTGGTGAATGCCAACTAGCACAAAACCTAGGTGCAAGGGTCCCTACCGATTGCCTCCAACCATCTAATATGATCAAAGGGGTTATCTTTGTCGTGGTTTCAACTCATGCTTTAGCAACTAGGCCAAAGATGTTGCAAAATACAAAAAGTACAGCGTATCGCACCTATAACTGGAAAGTGCAGTGAACTTACCTAAAGTCCGTCAGCTAAAAAAATCAAATTACGGGCTAAATGCACTTTGGTGTCAATTGTAT